GGGTGCAGCCAGGTGCTTCTGAGAACAGATGCTGGGTGGGCGCAGGGGCTTTGGGACACGTCAGCAAAGGCTGAGCAGGCGAGCTCCCGCCCCCTTCCTTTCAACTGGGAAGAAGGCACTGTGTTCTTTTATGGGTCTGAGTGAGATTTCCTCACTCAGGGCTTAAGCTACTTCAAAAATATTTGGGGCCCCTGCACTCCCATGAGGTGTCAAGTCACAAACCCCAGGGTCTGCTCTGCACCCAGACCTGGGGGTTCCTTGTGAAGTCTCCTTAAAGGAGACACCCTGGGAAAGGAAGTCAGACGGACCCAGCCGGAAACCCGAAATGCCAGTGTGTGCTATGTTTAGTCGCTCAGTCGTGCCCGACTCTTTGTGACCCCGTGGACTGCAGCCCACCAGCCTCCCCTGTCTATGAGAGCCTCCAGGCAAGAATACTGGAGTGAGTTGCCATGCGCTCCTCCTGGGGATCTTCCGACCCAGGGACTGGTGAGCAGGTTCTTTACCCACTGAGCCAGGGGCTTTCATGAGATGGAAGTTAAGTTTTCTCTCATACTGCAGATGGTTAGAGGTGGGCAGGGCAGCATCGGGAGCCTGAGCTCCTTCTATACATGGCTCTGCCATGCACAGTTTTATGTGAAAAATCAGCTGTAGTCCAAGATGGCTGCTGAAGCTCCTGCCATTATATCTGCATTACAGGCAGCAGGAAGGAGAATGGGGAACTGAATGTGCCTTGTCCTTTAAAAACCCTTTCTGAAATGAAAGACTGTTTACATCTAGGCCAAAACTATATAGCCACACCATACCTAGATGTAAGAGGGGCTGGGAATTAGTTCCAGGCAGCAAATGCACAGACAGACCTTCAGCGGTTTTACATCCTTGGACACTGGAGGTGGCGGGGTGGGGACAGGAACCTGAGGGGCAGTGAGAAGTCTCTGCCCCAAGCTCTGACAAGCTGTGTGTCCTTGGGCAAGCCCCTTCACCTCTCTGAGCTCCTGCCTGACTCTGTGAACCAGGCCTGTAGGAAGACTGTCTCCAAGGCCCTTCTCTGCTCCGACATCTCATGATACCCAGGGAGGCTGAGACCAAGGGTACAACAGCTCCTTTTAAAAAGTGCCTGTTTCAAGACGTACAGATCTGCAACAGCTTAAAACGTGACTGTTGATTTTCAAACTGCAAACTGATTAACACAGCCTGGGAGACCTTTTGGGGAGGGGGGCATGGAAGGTTCCCAAGGTCTTCCTGAGACAGGAGGGATCTGAGGGGGCGGAAGTCGGCTGGGCAGTCCTCTCTTAGGGCCGTGGAGGCGGCAGGGGAAGAGAGGACCAGAGCTGGGATGGGTGCCTTTGGGGAGGGGCTCTGGGGCGGGTGAAGAGGGACAGCGGGGAGGGGGGGCGCACCCCCAGGAGCTGGGATGGCTCTCCGGGGGTGGGGGGGCAGGGAGCAAAGAAATCTTGGGTTGTTTTCCTCCCAAGATTTGCTGTTTCTTTTTTCTTTAATATCTATTTTATTTATGTATGTATTTGGCAGCGCTGGGGATCTTTTCTTAGCTGTGGGTGTGAGATCTAGTTCCCTGGCCAGGGATCAAGCCCAGCCCCCTGCTCAGTGTTATTAGCCACTAGATCACCAGGGGAGTCCCCCTAGAGCTCCCTTTTCTCCTAATGGTATCCCTTGTTCAACTGTGATAACAAATATTAAAGAGCTCTAGAGACTTCCCTGGTGGTCCAGTGGTTAGGACAAACTCGACACTCTCACTGCCCAGGACCTGGGTTCAACCCCTTGTCAGGGAAGGAAGATCCTGCAAGCCACGCAGTGCAGCCAAAAAACAAATAAAAGAGCTCTTCAAAAAACTGAGGAGTCATCTGACCTGCTGGAATTGGGGAGCTGGGGCTTTGGGACACCCCACTTGCTGTGCTCAGGCCCCTGTGGGGCTGGCAGGAAGGGGTAGGCCCTGGGGAACTGCAGGGGGTCTGCTGTGAGGCAGGCCAGGGGGTGGCTTGTGACTCGTGTGTAATCAAAGGGTGATTCCTGGCAGCCAGGCCTTGGAAGCAGCCCCTCCCTCTCCCTTCCTGTCCCTTGACCCCCACCTCTGTGGGGTGACCCCGGCGGTCAGGAAGCTGGGAAGCCTGGCCCCGTGATGCAGCAGATTCCCTAGTCCTCCTCCAGGCCTGAGCAAGGCCCACGGGTGCCTGGACTTTCTATGGGATGGGGTGAGGGGTTAGGAGGGGAAGAAGCACATTCTCCCTGTCTCAAGGTGGGGGCTGAAGCTGTTTGATACAAAAGACACGTGACCCTGGTGAGTAACAGCAGGGTTTAAAGTTCCCAGCCCTCCACGTGCCAGCTGGGTAAACCCAGGCCAGTTTCACAGCCTCTCTGTGCCTTACTTTTCTCATCTGCAAAATCGGGAGCCAAGTGAGACCCTCACAGCAGCTCTCGGAGCGGCCCACGTGCGTGCCTGGTGTTCGAGCCCGTCTCCCAGTCGGGTCCGACTCTGCAACCCCGAGGACTGGGGCCCGCCAGGCTCCTCTGTCCGTGGGATTCTCCAGCCGAGAATGCTACAGTGGGTTGCCATGCCTCCCTCCAGGGGATCTTCCTGACCCAGAGATCGAACCCGGGTCTCCCGCATTAGCGAAAGCTAATAGGATGGCTGAGGGTAGTCAGTGATGATGACGGGAGATGCAAGGCCCCCGAGCCGCCCTGATGAAAGCCAAGGGCCCTGGCCACACCACAGCCTCACGGACGAGTCCGGAGCACACGGTCCCGCCCGCTTCTCCTGCTGAGGCAGAAACAGGAGACCATGTGGAGATGAGACTCGTTTGAAAGGCAGACAGACGCCAGTCTGCTGCCGCCCGTATCCCCACCTGGACTCTGAGGACAGCAGGACTGACAGAGGGCTTCTGGGGTCCCCCGACTCCTCAGACCTCAACTGCAATGGAGAGGTGACCTCCAAGGGGAGCCAGGAAACAGGGGGCTCCTCCACCACCAGCGGGTGGTGGTTGGGGCAAGAATGTTGTGGGTGCTCAACACAGTCCTCTCCATGGACCCACAAGGCCTGCGACCAGCTGCCCCGAACTGCGCCCAGCCGAGCCCCCTGACCAACACCCTGGGGGCCCGGGGAGCAGGCTCTGTGCTCTCAGCAGCCCCAGGCCAGGGGCAAACCCACTTTCTTGAAATCTGAACCCCTCTCTCCATGGGTCCCTGCTTTGGACAGTTTCCTTCTTCAGGCAGGAAGCTTCCTCCAGCAGTTCCCCCCTCCTCCCAGGGCAAGACCTGCAGTCCATTCCTGCCCCTGACAGCCTGACGGACCTGCATCTCGTCAGGGGCCCCAGAGGCCCCGTGCACGCAAGCTTAGTCCTGTCCAGGCCTCTCTAGCCCCACGGACTGTAGCCCTCCAGGCCCCTCTGTCCATGGGATGTTCCAGGCAGGAATACTGGAGCGGGGATCCTTCTCCAGGGGATCTTCCCCGCCCAGGGATCGAACCCGTGTCTCCTGTGTCTTCTGCATTGCAGGCGGAGTCTTACCACTGTACCACCTGGGAAGCCCTGAAGGCTCACTGACCAGCCTTTAAATCAGCTCTGCCACTTCCAGGCAGTGTGGCTTCAAGCAAGTCACTTAACCTCTCGGAGCCCACTTCATTAGTAAACTGGGGATAACCTAGGATTCTCATGAGACTACGAATAGCATCTGTTGATTTGTGTGTGTTCCTGTCCCTCAGACTCTCCTACTGTCCGAAGTACGTTTGCTCGGCAGCTCTTGGTGCTGTGTCCTTGGCTCCCAGAGCAGGAGGTGTAGGCCCCCGCCCTTGGGGGTGTCCACTTCAGTGGGGATAGGTGATCAGGCTGATGATCACATATTCATAGCTCTGGCTGATGAATTACTTCCAACTGAGGAGGAACGGGAGGGGCCAGTCTAAGGACTGACAGATGGGGAGGAAGGCAGGCCTTGCTGGCAGGGGCTCTGGCAAGGGCAGAGGCCTGAGGTGTGAATCTCAGAGCTGCAGCGTGCAGGCCAGTGGGGGAGGCAGGGGCAGCCTGGGCAGGCAGGAAGGTGCACCTGTGGGGCTGAGCTGCGGGGAGGGGCTGGTCCAGACAGTGGGGGGCTTGAGGGGACCTCCTGGCCCCTGCACTGTCCACCCCCACTCCCTGGTGTTCCTATGGAGAAACAGGCCATGTGCAGAATCTGCAGGGAGTCCAACCACTGCCCTCCAGGGCCTGCACTGCCGGCCTGGCCTTCCAAGACTGACGGTAGGAGGGTTGGGCCCCAAATCCCAGCCCTAAAGTAGACCTGGATCTTGTAGAAGTTTCCAGATGTTTAAAAGCCAGCCACCAGCCCCACCCGCTTTGAAGTTCTTGGCACTCCATTCCCAAGGCCACCAGGCTAATGGAGTAGAGGGGCAGGCCACATGTCAGGCTGGCACATCCAGATGTTCTCTGGTCCTCACCTCAGCCCTTGAGGTGGGTTATTCCCACTCCGCAGGCTGGAGACCGAAACCGGGCAAGTGTGAAACGCTAGGGCTTTTATTGACCCCTGGGGGCTCAGGTCCCCGACTGACTCTAGGCCTGGCCCCAGCCACAGTTTGGGACTCCTCGAGGCTCTGCGGGGGTCCATGGTCTGATTAGAACATCACTTGATGCTCAAGTCAACAAAGCTCCTCCCAGAGACCCTGGGGTGCGCCCCACCCCCGCCTAGAGCGAGCTCTGGGCATGCCTTCTGTGCCCGTGACCACGGAGCTCCTGAGGCTGGGCACAAGCCAGCTCCCAGCTGCCCAGGCAGGGTGTGCAGGGTCCCTGACAAGCGGTGGGCGTGGGGATGTTTCGTTACATCAGCCCCCGCAACCCCTCAGCGCGAAGGGCGGGTGCGGAGGGCACCCTGGGAACTAAGACGCTGGAGGCTCCGGAGGCCCCGCCCCCCGGGTCTCCCGAGGCCCCGCCCCTCCCCCGGGTCTCCCGAGGCCCCACCCCCGGTCTCCCAAGGCCCCGCCCCGCCTGGAGCTGCCGCTGGGGCCAGGGCCGGCTTGGCCTCCAGGTCACTGCAGTCCCGTGCCGAGAAGGATGGGTGGGTCAGTGGGTGGACTCCGCCGGCCCTGGTGTCCTCAACCGGATAAGGCGCTGTTGCTCCCTCCCGGTGACCCTGCAGGGCAAGGACAGGAGACTCCAGGGTGGGATTGAGCTCCCACAGTGGGATTCACTCACCCAGGATCAGAGACCCGGAGACTCCGAGAACAGAGCCCCAAGGTTCCGCAGGAAGAGCTCCATCCTGCCTGCCATTGCTTCTGAGGCCTCGGACCTGGGGGACTGAAAGAAAAGCGCTCAGCTGCCTGAAGGACGGGGACGATTTCACACGACCCCCAGCAGCCCAAGCTCTGGAAGCCTTCCTTGGTCCAGGCTTCCCTGTCCTGGGGTTCTGGAGTCTGAGAGTCCAGGAGCTGGGTTCTGAGGTCCTGGGTTCTAGCACCTGGGGTCCACAACCCCTCTAGTGACCTGGGAAGGAGGTGAGGGGCCTGGGGTGCAGAGGGGGCCCCCAAAGTCCAGGAGATCCAACTGCGTGAAGCCCAGCCCTGCCCAGGCCACTCGTTTTACAGAAGTGGAGACTGAGGCCTGGGCCTTTGGGGCCGGCGGGCATCTGTCCCAGGGCACTTTTGAGCGGGGATCTGGTGTGCGGGAGGCGGGGCGGGGAAGGCGACCCTGGGCCTGAGATGACCCTTCCCCTCCTCCACCAGCTTTACCAGAAGGTAAAGCATCTGCCTGCAATGCGGGGAACGTATCCCTGCGTAGGGATGATCCCCTGGAGAAGGAAATGGCAATCCACTCCAGTTCTCTTCCCTGGAGAATCCCATGGATAGAGGAGTCTAATAGGCTATAGTCCATGGGGTCCCAGAGTCAGACACGACTGAGCGACTTCCCTTTCTTTCCTCCACCAGCTGGAGGCGCTGCCCTCGGGGCCGGCCTCTCCGGGTGGGGGGGTGATGGAGGCCCTTCCTGGGGAGGCCGGGCTGCCCGCTCTCCCGAGCCCGCAGCTTCCGCCCCCGCCCGGTCTCCTCCTCCGGAGCTGGGACTCGCTGCCTGCTGCCAAGAACGCCCACAGCCTGCCAGGCCGGTGGGGGAGGACGCGCGGGCCCCACCCCAGCCCATCCGCACGGATCCTCCGGGCCCTGGGCGAGTCTTCTTGGGGGAAACTGAGGCCCAGGGGGCGGGGCGGAGGAGTCAGGGGCCCCCGGGCCCCCGGGGTCCGCAGGAGTTTTAGAGGCTGTGCTTTAGTGGGGTCTCTTCACCGGCCTCTTTTCAACCGTGAGAGTGTTGAAGGGGAGGCTGCCGGGCTTGGAGCCAGGGTCGGGGTGGAAGGGGGAGTTGGCAGGGGACCTGGCAGGAGGCCCGGCAGGGGGGAGAAGCCAGGGCCCCTCTCGGGGCTCCCTCCTGACGCCTGCCTCCCCTCAATTCTCAGCCCCCCATCCATACCCGTGATTCTCCAGCAGGCTGCCGGGCGGGCTTGGAGGGTGCTGGGGCCCAGCGGGGCTCAGGGCTGCTCTGGGAGGCCCGAGGCACCACATCCCCAGGCTGCAGGGAAGAGGGTCCTGATGGGATCCGGGGGGCGGGCTGCTGCTCACACACGGCCTTTTAGGAAGAGTAAGCGTTTCCCTTGCAGCTTTGTCCTGCGGTGTTTGGCAGAGTGGTGTTTGAATTCAGAAAGAAAGGCCAGAACTTTTCTTCCCCCAGCTATAGACTGGCCCAGGGGTCATGTGTGTGTGTGTGTGTGTGTGTGTCCTCACTGGGTCAAAGTCACGCCTGCACTCTGGTTGAGCGTGTTGGGGACAGTCTTACAAGGGCACGTTTGTGAGTATGTCCTGGGCTGTGGGCAAGGATGTGATCCGAGGTGGTAAATCGCTCCCTGACTCACACACACACTTGGGTATTGGGACATCCAGGTCAGACTTCCTGTCCCAAACATGCCCCCGCCCCTCCATCAGCTTGTCTGGAGTTCCTCCTGAGCATCTTCTTGTTTTTGTTTTTTTAATATTTATTTCTTTTATTTTGGCTGCAACGGGCCTTTGTTGTGGTACTCGAGATCTTTAATTGTGGCTTGTGGGATCTAGTTCCTTGACCAGGAATCAAACTCAGCCCCCTGCATTGGGAGCAAGGCATCTTAGCCACTGGACCACCAGGGTTATCCCTGAGCGTCTTCTGAGTGGTACACATGTTCCCTAAGATGAAGGGGTCATGCCCAAACCTGAAAAACAGATGGGGCTGCGTGGCAGCTGAGTTACCTGCTCCCGCAAGCAGGGTTTTGACGCAGGCATGGCACACGCTGACACATGAGAGGCGCTCACATGGCCTGCCCAGGACGCTGAGACTGGATAGGCTGCGGGGGGCTCCTGTCTCCCGTCCTGCTCTCCTCCTTCCTTGCCAGGGGACCCCAGCAGGGCTGGTGGAGCTCGGCCCCCAGCTTCAGCTCCCTCCTCCTCTGTGTCCCTGGCTGGGCAAGGGTCCGTCCTCCCCAGAGATTTCGTTGTATCCAGTTCTCTCTGCTCTCTCTTCCTTTCTTTCCTTTCGCACTTTCTTCATCTTAATCCCTTTAAGCCCCCTGAGGCCTCAAGCCTAGACCTGGTCAGTCTCTCTTAAACTGTGTCTCACGTGCCAGAGCAGGGATCAGAGACCCCGCGGGACGGATGGAGGAAGGGGGGAGCCCCCACTGGGCACCCGGGCTGCGCGGCTCACTCCTTCCCACGAGGCTCACACAGGAGGCCAGGAACTGAGGCTCCCAGTGTGAAAACCTTGCCCAGAGCCCAGGGCCACCGGTCTCCCTCTCAGACACCTGAGGGTTGGCCTTCCCGGGCTTTTTCCTCCACACACACACACACACAAATCTATTTTAAGACTACATTACTGTAAAGAATGTATTAATAATATATTTGAAATGTTTCCTTCATCCTAAAAGTTCCTTTTTCTCCACCCATTCTGATTTTAGATAAAATTGAACCATTTCATGGCCCCCACAGATACTGTGGCCCCAGCACTGAGTTGCTGTGTCTGAGGAAGAGGCAGCTGGCCTGGCAGGCTCCTCCCCGGAAGGGGACTTGAACCCAGATCTTCTGAACCCCCAACCTCTTCTCCCCCCGAGTCAGCCAGTTTGGGGAAAGTTTCTTAGTAGCCACCCTATGGCTTGGACTGTCCTGTTTCTTAGTGCTTGTAATAACAATGCTAATTAATAATAATAATTATTATTAATCATCACATTACTATAACTCCTTCACAAAGTCTTTGACTCTTCCCAAGCCCTTTCTTCTCTGTTATCTTATTCCCCCAACAATCCTGGGAAGAGCAAGGAGAGCCATCTTTACTTCTGTCTTAGAGCTGGGCCAACTAGGACGCAGAGGACGGGTAAGCAGTGCCGGCTGGTAGGACCGGAGCCCTGGGCTCTGCACATCCTCTATCTGCCCTCTATCTGGGTGAGCAGGTGGCAAGGAGGGGCCTTGGAAATGTACCTGGGTGAGGTGGAAGGTTGGAATTTAAAGGGCAGAAGGGGGAGCTATGAAAGGAGGAGTTGGCAGGTGGGGCACAGGGATGGGTGAAGGGGAGGGGCGGGCAGGTGTCAGCAGGGGTGGGACGGATACCTTCCGGCTGCCCATGGGGACAGGAAGAGTCCAGGGCAGCCTTCTGGAAGGAGCTGAATGGAGGCGGGGGGCAGTGCAGTTACTGGGAGGGAGAAAAGGGGACCCCGGGGGGCATGTGAGAGGCACAACCACTGAGCCTCGGTGACGGATGGGACACAGAGCTTCACGTGGGGGTGGGCAGGGATGCTCCCTCAGTTGAAGCTCTTAAAAACCCCAGAGGCTGGAAACACCATTACCATGTGGGTAATTAAACCACAACCATGAGTCAGCTCTTCACTGACTCACTGGAAAAGACCTGGTGCTGGGTAAGATTCAGGGCAGGGGGAGAAGAGGGCGGCAGAGGGTGAGCTGGATGGCATCACACTCGATGGACAGGAGTTTGAGCAAACTCCGGGAGATAGTGAAGGACAGGGCAGCCTGGAGTGCTGCAGTCCACAGGGTCCCAAAGAGTCGGACAAGACTGAGTGACTGAACCACAGTTCAGAAGTGATGATCCTATCAAGTCAGCTCTTTTCATAGAATAGGTCATTACCTCCCAACCACCCTGAAGGGGCAGGCATTATGCTCATTATACCACCGCCAAGATCATTTGGGGTCTTTTTGAAAGCTGCCCACCATAATCGCAAGGAAAAGATGTCCACTTTCAGTGGGATAAGTGTCTTCTTAGACTCTAACACACTCAGGACATAGCATTTGCTGTGGGCGCTGATTCAGGACCACTATCTACTACTCTGTATGTGCTTGCTAAGTTGCTTCAATCATGTCCAACTCTTTGCGACCCCATGGACTGTACCCCGCCAGGCTCCTCTGTGCATGGGATTCTCCGAGCAAGAATACTGGAGGGGGCTGCTGTGCACTTCTCCAACCACCCTGTGAGGTCAGTACTATTATCCTCCCCATTTTGTGGGGGACACAAAGAGGGAAGGAGCTTGTCCTCAAACCCTACAGCCGGGATCAGGCTGGGACTCGAACCCACACGGGTTTGAGCCCAAGGAGGAAGCTGGGTTGGGCACGGTGTGTCTGAGGAGCCTGCAAGTGCCTTCAGGGGAGCCCGTTGTTTGGGTCTGAAGTTCAGGAAGAGGCAGGTCGGAACTGGCACGCGATGGGCGCCCTTAGCTGCGGGAGTGGTGGGGTGATGAATCCTGGGGAGGCAGGCTCGCCCCCAGGAAGAGCGGGTACAGACCGGGCAGAAGTGGGGTACAGACCACCTCCCTTGACCGCCATAGCATCTGCCTCCTCGGAGCGGTGGTGGGAGGGGGGCAGAGACAGCCCGAGAGTGAGGGAGGCCACGGGGTTGGGCGGGTGGAGGCGTGGGGACTATCTCTAGAGAACAGCCCGGCTGTGTTAGAACAAACCTTAGGACAAGCCCTGAGGTTTCTGTTGGGGGGGCGGGGGCGGGGCGGGGGGGGGGTATGTCCCGGCCGTGGCCACACCCTCTGCGCTCTCTGTGGGGCGGGGCAGCCCCAGGCCCCGCCCAGGGTGACACCCCCGGATGCGGGCTCTAGGGTCACCAGCCTCCAGGCTGGAATGTGTCACGCGTGCCGCGCCCAGAGGCTGTGCCCCCTCCCCAGCCGGTCCGACCCGTCTGCCGGGCGCCGGTCGGCGGTCCCCTGCCCTCAGCCCCTGCGGCCCCCACCGCCGTTCGTGGAGCAGCCCACCGCCTCCGAGCAGGCTGTCGCTCTGCCAGGCGCCTCTTCCTCCCGGGAGCCCGCTGGGCCTCCTGACCACTCCCAGACCCTTGGAGGGGGCCGATGAGGGATCTGTGCAGAGAGAGCTTCAGGAGTCACCCTCACCCCACAACAAAGGCAGACACGTGATGCTTTCTCCTCAGAACCAGCTGCCCGGCGCGCTCGCCAGGTGCCACAGGCTGGTCCTCCTTCCCCGCCCGCCTCCAGACCAGACGGACCATCTCTGGAACCTCCGGGCTGTTCCCCCGATCCCATCTGACCGCCCAGTTCCCCAGCTAAGCCTCCTGCCCTCGGGCAGGCGGATGCCCTCCAGCGAGCTGGGTACGCGCCCTCTGGACGACTCAGCTCTGCGCAGGCCCCGCCCGGGACTTGGTCTCCGCATCCTGGCCCACCGCCTTTGCCCAGGCGGGTCCCCTGCCTAACACGCAACCCTCCCTCCCCAAATGCCCAGATGGCCTCCGAGCTTGAACCAGCGACCTAACCACCCTGGGCCTTAGTTTCCCGGGCTGCAGCAGGAAGCGAATACTGGTGGGGGACCGGGGAGGAGGGAAGGGTGCGCGGGCTGTGAGGCGCTTGGCGCAAGGAAGGGCCCCGAGCCTCGCGGCCTTCTGGGCCCGTCTGCCAGCCCGCTGTGCTCCTCTTCCCGGCCAGGTGCTCGCCGAGCCTTGCCAGGTGGTGATGACACCACTGGCGGCCCATCCCCACCCCTCAAGAGCCAGCGAAGGGCCCTTTTAGGGGCAGGGAGGCCCACGGGGAGACCCTCTGTGCCCCCGCTGGGAACAGGTGGCAGGGTGAAATCCGAGAGTCCCAGGGGGCTCCTCCTGACCCACGACTGGGGGTGGAGGGGACTGTGTGTGTGTGTGTGTGTGTGTCTGTGTGTCTGTGTGTCTGTGTGTGTATGTGTGAGAGCCCGGGGCTCGCCTGACCCGGGCCTGGGGGTGGGGGTGGGGGTGCCTCTGTGTGTGTGTGTCTCGATATATGTGTGTGTCTGCGTGTGTGTGTGTGTATGTGTGTGTGATGTTTTGCCCGCTCAGCCTGGCTGAGCTCCAGGAAGACTCGGTCTCGCCCCCAGCCGTGCGCCTCTGTGAAATGGGGCGATTGCACCGTCCCCAAGCTGCACCCCTAACTGCGGGTCTCTCGAAGGAAGGTTTATTGTCCAAGATCGACAGTAATGCACAGTCACTGGGGGGGAAAAATCAGAAAATAACTCCCCTCCCCCATAAAAATACCACCAAATATGTCTATGACCCGAACTCCATCCCTGGAAGTACTCTTGCAGCTATGGGGCAGGGGAGCGGAGGCAGGTTTTATTATTAATATTATCCCACGATTCTGGGGAGGACAGGGAGATACAGAGGCGATGAGTGGCCCCCAAGGTCTCAGGAGGGTGAGATGCCGGCAAGATTCGAACTCCCCCCACCCCCGCCACACATACACCCTTGCACTCTCCATCAAGGGCCGCCCATCTTCTTGGTAAGGACTCGCTACTGTCAGGCACCTGCCCGAGCTCAGCCCAGGAGCAACACTGCACAGCCCGGAGACCGAGACGGGGGACCGAGCGGGGCTTGAGGTTGCGGGTGTCGCGTCCAGACGCGAGCCTGTGGACTTGGGGCGCCACATCGCGGACCCGCGGGAGACGGGCTCCTCCAGCCCAGGACGCATGCGCCCCTCTGCCTCTCACGCGAGATTACTTGGGAACTTTGAACCCTGTCCCCAAGCCCCGATGGGGAAGATTAACCCGATTGTTTTCAAACCCTGGCCTCGCAAAAGAGCCCCGCACCTAGGCTGCCAGCCCCGTCTCTTAAGCTGGTCTGCGACGCCCCCTGGCTTTGTGCTGGGCGATTGTTGACCCATTTCACTGGCGGCGAATGGGCCGTGGATCCCAGGGACTCTTTCCTGTGGGTGTGGACGCCTCCCTGCCCGCTGGAGTCCCAGCTCCAGAGGCCCACCTTATCCGGAAGCCTACTCTCTACTTGGTGACTCACCGCCTGGGAGTGGGTCCTTTGTTCAGTGCCCTGGGCGCTGCGGGGGAAGGAAGGCATGCAGGCCCCTGCTTTATTCCTCCAGCTCCCAGCTGGACCACTGTGCGGCCCTGCCCTGTACCAGCACTCGAGGTACTGGACTCAGTGACCTGGGACAGCCCTGCACTGCTGAGTCTCCTGGGGCCCCAGGGCTGTCCCACTCCTCTGGGCTCACCCTGAGGGGTGACGTCTATTCCCTCCTTCTTCTGCTAAGAGCACCCTGGTTTTCCAGGGGAAACCCTACCCAGCCACCTTCCAGGGATACGGTGGGGGGGGGGCACCCTACCTCCTAGTTCTAGGTCGGCAACCTGCATTCTGCCCCACTGGTTTGGAGGAGGACACCCCGCCCTGCGGGTGGGGAGGGGGCTGGTGACCTGGGGCCACCGGGGCTACCTCAGGCGGGGACCCCGTCCAAGGGAGGCTGAGGGGCAGAGAGTGCAGCCCTGGGCTAGCGGCTGGGGCTGCGTGCACGCTGCACTTGGCCGCTTGACTTTTTGGCTTCAGGCTGTTGATGGGTTTCACCTCACCACCCGACCCCGAGGATCCTCTGGACTTGGTTATTTGTCCACTGGCAGCTGCACAGTGGGTCCTGCTGCCCATGATCCTGCATTCAGCACCTACTCTCAGACGGGACGTGTCCTGAGTGAGGCAGACACAGCCCTGCCCCCAGGGCTCACAGCCTGGGGATGGTCAGGGGGTCTGTGCCACGAACTGTGGGGAGCGGGACGTGAGGGGGGCCGGAGCCTGCCTGAGGAGGAGACCCTGAGAGCCCTCAGGAAGTGACTGGAGGAAGGGTCTGGAGCTGAAGGGAGAGAAAGAGCTCCAAGTTTTCCACCCCGAGACTGGAGAGGATTCCTGGTCTCCCTTGAAACAACGACGAGGTGGGGGCGGGGCGCGGAGACCGCCCGCAGAGCATTGTGGGCCTTTGGATCTTAGCCCAGCCACACATAGATGGGCTGCAAGCAGGGGTTTAGTGCGGCCAGTTAGGGTTTTAATAGATCCCTCTGGCCTTGGTGCCTTCCCAGGGCTCTGCCAGCTTGTGAAAGAAAGAATTCCTTGCTTGTCATGCAACCCTGCCACAATGCCTCCTCGCCCTGGTCTGCTCCATGGGGGTCGAGGGACGTGGATGGGAGCCCCACTTTGCAGACCTTTGTGGATGCGAGATCCTGGACCACTTGGAGAAGGCTTCCTAGGAGAGGGGCCCCAGTCTTCAGCCGAGTGGGAATCATGGGAAGATTGCCCAGAGGTGGGGGAGGAGAGGAATACCAGAGAGGGGACAGCATGTGCAGAAAGGCACGGAGGCAGGAAAGAGCGCAGTGTGCCCAGGGAACCCCTGCTTGAGAACTGAGTGTGAAGGACTTGGAGTGTGTCTGCGCGTGTGTCAGTGTCTCTCTGAAGGTGCAGGCAAGGAGCAGCAAGAGGCCTCTGCATTGGGTGGGCTGGTGGCTGCAGGAGGTGGGTGGTGGAGGATGGGCAGGGGGCAGGGAAGACCGCATCAAAGCCAAGCTGCCAGATGGGGAAGGATTAGCTGGTGGGTAGAGGGGGAAGGTTAAACCTGGAGACTAAACCTCATGCTTACCTCTGCTTCCTCTGGAAACTTCATAAAAATGATGGCAAAACAGTTTTAAAAGGTATAAACACGAGACAGGAGAGTTCTGCAGATGAGAGGGGCCACACGTCTTAGGAAGATGGAAACTGACAGGGCCTTCCTGGGGTGGCCTGTACCAGAGACTGGCACCCACAGACTGGCAGGGACTGCTGGTGGGGCTAGGTCTGGGCCCACTGTGGATGGTGGGGGCGGGTCTGATGACAGCCCTTGTGGTGGACAGAACCTATTGTGACCCCAGCGGTTTCCTGTCCCCTGATGCTCACACCCCTGTGTAACCCCTGGCAGGAGCTGTGACCCGCTTCTAACCAATAGAATATGGCACAGGTGATGGGACGGCCCACCCCTGTCTAAGGAGACCCTCCTGGCAGGCTGGACAAGGTAAGCAGCCTTGGAGAGGAAGTCCATAAGGCAAGGGACGGCATGTGGCCTCCAGCCAACAGCTTGCAAGAAGCCGCAGCCCTCAGTCACACAGCCGCAAGGGCAGAAATCCTGCCAGCAACTGACTGAGTGAGCCTGGAAGCAGATCTTTCCCCCAAGGAGACCCTCCAGTTGGGCACACAGTGAGTGGCACCTTGATTGCAGCCACGTGAGACCCCGAGCAGCGGAGCAGCCCACCTAGAACTCCAACCCCTAGCAACTGTGAAAGAAAAATGCCTGTGGTTTTCAGTTGTTCCGTCTGTGGTCATCTGTTACTCAGCTTAGAAAACACATATACTCCCAGGCCCTCCCACAGCTGCTCACCATTCACTTCCCTGTTTGCACCGACCCCTCCTGCGGAAGACAAAATGCATCCTCTCTGGAGAGAGATTCCAAAATCAGAACCTCAGGCATGGCAGAGGCAGGAATGAGTGTGGAGGTGAAAAAGATGGCTTGAATGACCACGGAGTCCCAATCCTTCCCCGCCCTGCCCCGGGAATGCCAGCAACCAAGTGTGTGTCCCTGGGCGGAAGATGGAGGGTCTTCTGTGGACACCCAGAAGCACCAGCACGGAAAGACTCCGCATCACTCACTGCCCCGTGCTGCAAAGGCCACGTGACCTGCTTTGGTGAATGAAGAGAGAGTGGAAGTGACATGTACTTTCTGAAAACGTGAGAAGTCATCCTGTGGTCCCACCACTGCTCTCTTTCCCTGCCACAGAAGACAGTGCCGTACACGGAGGCAGCTCCCTCATCCTAGGGCCCAGGATGAAGAGGACACAGGGAGCAACCTGCAGGCCCCAAATACACCTTTGCTGTTGTGTGTCTCTGAGATTTGGGGGGATTGTTTGTTACTGTAGCATAACTTTGCAAAGCTGACTGATAACACCAGGAAAGCTGCCTGGATGCCTGAAAATCCAGGGAGTCCTTTCACACACACAGATTCCAACTGGCCTGTCTTTGCCTTATGTTAGTGTGCATGGCTGCTGAGTGTCATCAGACATTAGAGGAAACCCATCAGTGGAAGAACAGAGACCAAAACAAAGAGAGCAAAGGAAGTAGGATGAAAGGAGAGGAATCAGGGGGCAGAAGAAAAGGTCAGAATTAATCCTAACTCCTCAGAGAGGACATTAAACCAGAACAATGTTATTTGTTTTAATGGAGCCAAGAGCTTGTAGAAGTTTAAAAGACAATAGTTGAAGTAAGGATGGGAGTAAAAGGTAGGGGAACCCCTAAGGAGTAGACCTAAATGACGGAGAAATGGGGGGGGAATTAGAGGATAAGCGCTAAATCCAAGTACAGAAGTCCCAGAAGGAGAGGCCTGCAGGGCGTGAGTCCCCAGAGTGCAGAGGCCTGCCCTGCACAAGAGCTGCACCAAGACCATCCCCCTCTTCCCCTCCCCTCAAGGCAGAGGGGTTCCAGAGCACCAGGGATAAAGCAAAGGGACTAAACACTTCCAGAGAAGAAAAGGATGTCTCATGGAAAGGACTGAGAGTCAGAGACACTCTGGGCTTCTCACCAGCACCACTGGGAGCTAAGAAGTCAATGGAGAAATGCCTTCAAAATGCTGTTGAAGGAACTTCCCTGGTGGTCCAGTGGTTAACAATTTCCCTTGCCGTGCAGACAATGAAGGTTCAATCCATGGCTTGGGAACTAAGATGCCACGTGGCATGGCCAAAATGTTAAAAAAATAGTTCAAGTATTTTTAATTAAAAAAATTAACTCTAAAAATAATTGCTGGCAAAACGATTTTTAACTCAAAATTCTATACTTAGCCAAGCTATCACCAAGCATGATGTTGGCTGAAGACCTCTTCAGATGTGCAAGAGTTATACTAATCAATCTTCCATGCTCCTTTTCTCAGGAATTTCTTGGAGGAGGTTCTCCAGCAAAGCAAGAACAAGAAAGACTGTGTGGAGGAAACAGAAGCAGCCAGCATGGATTGTTGAGGGGTGGTGATGGTGGTGGGGTGGTTCTGGCAGGGAAGGTATGGATTGAGCCAAACAGTTTCTTTGATAGATGGGAAATAATATTGGGAAACTGCTCACCATCCGGTAGACTTAGAAATGGATATGAAGTAAGCTACTAGTAACCCATCATTGCCTAACAAATTGCCACAAATTTACCTTCTGGGCAAGTCTAGGCATGAACTGAGCTGTGTCCTCCTCCGCTGAGGGCTTCGCAAGGCTACACTCAGGGTGCTTGATGGGACTGCAGACTCATCTGAGGCTGGACTGGGGAAGGATTCATTTCCAGGCTCACTGACCATGTTGCTGGAACTCGGTTCCTTTTTGTGTGGGTCTGAGGGCTTCAGGTTCTTGCTGACTATTGCCCAGCAGCTGCCTTCGACTTCTAGAGGCCACAATTTCTTGCTGTGGCCACACGACTTGGCAGCTTGCCCCTTCCTAGCCAGGGAGGGCGCAGCAGACACCTGCGTGACGGCTCTGCAGTCTCATACCACATGACCGCGTCTGTCCCGTGCCCTTGCCGTGTTCAGTTGCTTAGAATGAGTCAAGGTCATGCCCACACTCAAGGACGGGGGCTGCAGAAGCGTGTGGACACCAGATGGTGGGGTCTTTGGGAGCCACTTATTTTTATCAAGTAATTTTTATTGGAGTATAGTTGCTTTACAATGCTGTGTTAGCTTCTACTGCACGGCAAAATGAGTCAGCCATACATATACGTATTTCCCATCTTTTTGGGATTCCCCTCCCATTTAGGACACTGCAGTGCATTAAGCAGAAATCCCTGCGCTCTACAGTATGCTCCTATCAGCTGTCTATTTTACGCATAGGATCAACAGTGTACAAGTGTCAATTCCAATCTCCCAACTCTTTCCACCCTACTCCCCCTTGGTATCCATACATTTGTCCTCTGTATCTGTGTCTCTATTTCTGCTTTGCAAATAAGGTCACCTATACCGTTGTTCTAGATTCCACATATATGCATTAATATACGATATTTGCTTTTCTCTTTCTGACTTACACTCTGTATGACTCTCTAGGTCCATCCACACCTCTACAAATGATCCAGTTTCATTCTTTTATATTGGGAGCCATTTTCTTAAAATTTAGGACCCACTTTTAAAGCAGCCTAAACAAAGCTAATTATTAACTTCATGAAAAACTAAAAGTTAAACCAGAAAGGAAATACAACCACTTTACATTACTTGACTCAGAGGCAAACAGTGTTTACATAATCGTTAAACAGCTGAATATTGGTTGAACTAAAAATTGTTGCATATTGGTAATAAGAAGTGACAGAGGGGGAGAGTGCTGTGTGGGTGTGTAGCCGAGGGGGACTGTGTGTGTGAGAGAGCTCGACCCTTGTCTTCTGTAAGAGGAAGTCAGTAGATAATGGCTCAAATTGGTGAATCAAGTAACAGCAGCACAAGCATGTTATTTATAAACATGGAGATAAAACCCAGAAGAAGAAGCCAGAAGCGTTGACTGTGGTTGTTTCCGGGGAGAGGTGGGGGTGGGGCGGTTGGGGAGGGCCTGCTGTTCTGCACTGTATGCCTGTGTATCTTGGAAAATTCTGTGCGTGTCAAGTGCATATGCTTTAAACTATTACATTGCTTCCATAAAAATACACATTAATTAATAGAGAAAGAGATAAGGGGGAGGAGAACCAGCCCCTGGAGGGAAGAGTGGAGTCCCCGGGGAAGCTGAGCCATCCGAGCTTCTCCTTCCCCTGCGGGGAGGGGTTCTGCGGATCCCTGGCGGGAAAGTGAACCTGAGTGGCACATACTCTGGGGAATGTGGTAACCGGAGCGTCCACAGGGAGAATACGGTAACAACGGGGGTTGGGGGGGGGACTGGGAGGGTTTGGGAAGGAAGCTGGGAGGGGGAACCGGGATCCCTCCCCCAGCACTGGGGGAGCCTCAGGCCCCAGGCGAGATGCCCCCACCCTTGTAGTCCCCCTCTTCGTAGACATTTCTTGGAAAAACTCTGAAGGTTCCCGTGAGGTTTTGTTTTTTGTTCAGTAGATGTTGTATAATTTGTTTTTAATCTAAGTAATAAGTGTTCCTGGTACAAACACTGGGAGGCACGGGATGTCTTGGAAAAGCACGGCCCAGTAGTGATGTCCAGCCGGGTGGCTGCTGTCAGGCCCTCCAGGTCCCCAGGTGTCCTCCTGTTCCTGCTGACGCCAGTCTCTCTCTCCCAGGCATGCAGGGGTCTCTCTCTCTGCACACCCGTGGTCTGCACCCCACTTTATTCACTTTGCTGCCTGGCCAGGCACCCTTCTCATACCAAGACCCCCAGAGAGAGCCGTCTCACCCCTTTTTCCAGACCCCTGAGCCAGGAGCTCCCCCATTGGTGTGCCCAGTCCCCAGTGGTGGGTGCTCAGCTTGAGTGTAGAATTTTGCTCTTAGTAACTCAGCTGCTGGACATGAGTTTGGGCACGCTCTGGGAATTGGTGATGGACAGGGAAGTCTGGCGTGCTGCAGTTCATGGGGTTGTAAAGAGTTGGACACAACTGAGCGACTGAATTGAACGAACTCATCTATGACTGGACACCTCCAGGCAGACCGCCGGGCTTTCTCCCCCACCCCCTCACTGCCCTGGGAGCCCGAGTCTGGCTGGGAACACCTGTCACAGGCGTGAGTCCTAGGACCTCACAGCATTGTGGCCTGAATGTCTGAGGAAGGTCTGGTGCAAAGAAGCTGGGAGGAGAGGAACAGTGGAGAGGTGGAGACAGAAAGGGCTCTCTGGGGGTGTCTGGCACCCACGCAGGGCATGGGGCCACACTGGGCTTGCCACCTGCCAGGCAGGGCTAGGACTGGCTGAGACACCCTGTGCCTGGAGCATTGTGGCTGGAGGATGACTCTGGCTTCGTTACTGCTTCCCTGCACCTACTTTAAAGTGGCCTTGAAAACTTGCTTAACCTCTCTGGGCCTCAGTTTCCTCATCTGCAAAATGGGGATGATAAGAGCACAGCTGTCCTTGGAGGGGAGGCAGGAGACAGTGAGGAGGTCAGAGAGAGGATTTGGGGGCCCTCCAAGGGAAGAGTAGATGGGACTGGCCCATGAGAACAAGAAGATCCTCCCGAGTAGAACCGGAAGGCAGTGTGCATCAGAAATGGGGTCTGAACTGCCTCCCCCCACCTGCCCGCCCCAGTGCTCCAGCCCCTCTTGTGGCTGGGCCCCAGTCTCCTGGCCTCAGTTGACTCAACCTGCTATTGGGCACAGCAGCCCCAGCTGGAGGGACAGCTTAGAGCTAATAAGAGACACGTGCCTGCCCAGGGGACCCTGCAGCCCAAGTCCAAGGCCCTGGGGGGAGCGGTGTCAGGCTCCTTTCCGGAGCTCCCACAATCAGGGCTTAGGATGTAGCAAGGGAGAAAATGCTGACCATGGGGATGGGGTCCGAGAGGAAGGGCTGCTGAGCAGCAGAAGTTGGGCGGCCTCCCAGGCTTCCCTGGCTCTAGAAGGAGGTGGGGACCAGCCGGGGGGGGGGGGCCTGAGAGCAGGGATGGCACACCCTCCCAGGGACCGTTGGGGGTCCCACTGCCTGAGCCCAGGCCTCCGGGTCAGTTGATCTCTTTTCAGACACAGACCACCCTCTCCATTCCTACGCTTGCCCGGAGCAAGGCCTGCTGAGTTCTGACACGGACCCCCACTTGGCCCCGACCATGGGCACGGGGCACTCCCGAGCTGGCTGCTCCATGCGGCAGCAGGAAACATTGTATTCTACCCTACGCCCTGCACATGCATCTTCAATTACAGAAAGCAAAAGCTTATGGAACAGAGCCTACCCTTATTTCATTTAAAAAGATGCTTCATTTGTAGTTGTCCCAAACTGAAAACAACCCAGGTTTCCATCAGCCGTGGATGGATAAACAAATGTGGTGTATCTGTACAAAGGAATGCCGCTTTGCAGTGAAAATAAACTACTCATGCACAGGGCTTCCCTGTTGGTGCAGTGGTAAAGAACCTACCTGCCAACGCAGGAGACGTGGGTTTGATCCCAGGGTTGGGAAGGTCTTCTGGAGAAGGAAATGGCAACCCACTCCTGTATCCTTGCCTGGGAAATTCCATGGACAGAGGAGCCCGATGCGCTACAGTCCATGGGGTCGCAGAGTCAGACACGACTCATTGACTAAACAACAATACACACAACACCATGCGTGAATTTCAGACATGAGAGTGAGTTGAAAGAATCCTGGTGGAATATTTACCTACTGTATGGTTCTGTTTATGTGAAGTTCCTTTTTTTTTTTTTTTTTTTTAATGTGAAGTTCTAAAGCATGCCAAGTTAATCTGTGGCAACAAGAAGTTGATCTGTGGTGGCTGGGGACCCAAGGATTGATGGGGAAGGGCACTGGTGAACATCTTGGGATATGGAAATGCTGTTTCATGACTGATGTATGAACTTAAAGAGCTAGCTACTTCAAATGGGTGCATTGCCCTGTATGACATTTTTGCATAAAAGAAAGAAAATGCTGCTTGTTCCATAAATTGATTTCATGACCTGCTTGTAAATCAGTGGCCCACCACGGCCGCTATGCTAACATCTGCTGAAAAGAGGGGCAGGGAAGTATAGATGAGTGCAAAGAGGGCCTGACCACACTGGTGAGGTGGAAAGACTGCTTTGAGAAAGAAAGTCTGAGAGGAGCATGAGAGAATTAAAGCAAAAGAGGTGAGGGCAGGGTGCCTACAGGCAGGGGAATGGCAGGATTAAAGACCCTGAGGTAGAATGTAGCCAAGGCCAGGGCAGGGCTGTAGGGGGGCCCTGGGTGGAATGGCAACTCTTGCCGCCTGAGTGCCTCTGGAGGTCTTTGTCCTTCTCATTCTCTGATGTACCCCCAGCACCTGATACATTGTTGCTGTTGTTATTATCCTATCTGATTCTTTGCAACCCCATGGACTGCAGCATGCCAAACTTCCCTGTCCTTCACTGTCTCCTGGAGCTTGCTCAAACTCATGTCCATTGAATTGGTGATACCACCCAGCCATCTCATCCTCTGTCACCTCCTTCTCCTGTTTTTAATTTTTACCAGCATCTTTACCAGGGTCTTTTCCAATGAGTTGGCTGTTCGCATCAGGTGGCC